TCGAAGCAGCTCGGCGCTGTCGGCGAGGCGGGAGCGATGCAGCCTGGCTTCCAGCTCGCCGTGCTGCTTGACTGTAAAATGACGGTCGTTTCTCTCACTTCCAGGAATCTGTTCTTCCTGGAAGGTGAGTGGCTGAGTTCACCCTACCAGTGAAACGCAGGCATGCACACACAGCCTGTGTTCCAGTGCTGTTTCCAAGGAGTTGGCTGTGATAACACTCCAGGGTATCTTCAGCAAGGTAGAATAATGCAAGTGAAACGGGAGGGTGGGGGGGAAGGATGCTGAAATAACTCCGCACCGTTTTTGCCTGCTCTTTATGTGGGGTGTTGTTGGAGACGCAGCGGAGAAGGGTGTAGGGGGCTGTTGAATGTGTCGGATAGAGAGACCGACTCTGGACGGTGATTTATAGGTGTGTAAAATCGCTTGTGCTGGGCAGGGAGGAGAGGGAAGGGAAGGACCTGGCCCCTCGAGATGCCCCTGCAAGCACCTAAGGGAAATGCTGGCGAGGCAGGCTCAGGGCACTGCGGCACCGAGACCCTTTGAGAGGTGGCCGTGTCTCTGCCTCCCCCCAAAAAGTGGCTGCTCAGTTTTCAGGCTGCAGGACATGCATCCACGGAGTTCGCTCCATCCAGGACCCCGTGGTGGTGCAGGCACTTTTCTCTGCGGGGCTTGTTTAACGTTTTCTCTTTAACCTCTCCTAGCCGAGAGCTCGTCTCCGTTCTCGGGGGTGTGTGACTGGTAACGCGTGTAGGCTTCGCATGACTCAAACTTGCTGGCAGCAGCTTGTCAACCTCGTGTCGGTATGGGGAGGGGGAGAAAGGGAAGGATCCTCGAAGTCCCTTCTGCTGTGACCCCAGGAGGAAGGAAAATCTCTTTAAAATGTTGCCGTGAGGACTTGGAAAGGGCGAGGGTACTGCTGGGACGACCCAGCTTCGTCTCAGTTGAGCAGTGATTTAGAATATGCTGCCTCACTTAGGGCATTTACCATAAATGATTCCCATGCTCAGCAAGGCTGGTTAGCTCAGCGTCCCAGTAGTCATCAGACAATGGGATGAACTGGGCTCGGAGAGCATCAAGAGAAGAGTTTCTCCAGATGCAAGTATTTAGAAATAACATTACCAGCTGTGCTAAAGGAGTTCATGGAGCTTCTGCACTTTTCATCATCAAACCCTTTGCAGTCTCCGTTCACCCAGCATCGCGGAGAAGCTGCTGCCCGGTGCCTCTGTGCGCCAGGAGGGCCGGGGCCGATCGTCGCCTGGGGGTTTTCTGCGCTCGGGCAATCGGCAGGTCTCGTCAGAACAGAAAGCTGGCACTCCCCTCTTGGTCCCGGAAGGAGGAAGAAATGAGTCTAGCCTGCTGTGTAAATAAGTTGGGCTCATGATGGTCTGATCTTACCCTTGGCAGGCATCTGAGCTGCCAAAATCGGTTTCTGGTGCGAGCGGGGAAGGCCCTGTGTTCAGGGACTGCAGCTGCCTGTGCCCAGGTTCAGTTTCCCAGGGAAACAAGTATCTGCTTGGGAACTGCCACAGGCCCCAGCAATGCCGCTCTGCGGCGCTCGGCGTGGACCGTCGGGAAAGGGAGCCCAGAGCCGAGCCCGTTCGCTGCGCTAGGCTCGTCCTTGCAGACCGAGGCGCGGGGCGTTTCGGCGGGGGAGGCGGGTGCGTGG